CTGGTATTTGTTATAGTTAGTGTTACATTTGGGGTTAATTTCCTTTAATGATACCCATACGGAGCAAAATTCATTTTTTTCCATAACCATATTGAATTGGTCCAGCACCATTTGTTGAAAAGACTGTTGATTCTCAACTAAATCAGTTAAATCACATACTGTCGTATACTTTAAGTCTTAAAATTAGGTGGAGTTAGTCCTTCACTTTTATTCTTTATCCATGTTTTGGCTATTGTACATCATTTTGTGTCCATGTGAACTTGACAATCAGTTTGCCTGGATTTTGATTGAGAAAGTTTTGAATCTATAGGATAGTTTAGGGAGGGTTCACATAGAAATCTGAAAATTCCTACCCATTGCTAATTTTAACAGTTGGAGAGATTGCTAAATAATAATGATATGTAATTGGTAATAAAAGAACTTTGCAGTGGGGATATCGGTGCCATTGAGATAGAGGATAATTTTTCCATTATAAAGAGTGAAAAATTTATATAAATTACCAAAGTAGGGCACAAACTATTGGTTTTGGAAACTGGAGGCAGGAGTTGGCATCAGCTCATTGGTAAAGGTGATGTTGATGAATAAATGTTTCCATCCAAAACATGTTTTTTTTTTACAGTCTTAAATAATGTTCAAGATAAACTTTACTGAAAGTTTAACTTTACTGAATTTGTGTATACCATCTTGGAAGTTAAAAAAGAACTTTAAAAATATTTCTTTATTAATATTTACTTGTATTTTAAAAAAAGAACATAAATCATTAAATTAAGGGTGTATGCTTTGTCAATAAGACCTCATCTTAACTAACTATATCAACAATGGCCCCATTTTTAAATAAAAGTTTCATCCTGTTATTAAAAGAAAAAGTAATTTGTACATATCTCTGACACCTCACATAGAATAAAAGGGGATCTCATAAAACTTTAGAAATTCTTTGAGGTAATATTTATATCAGGCAGGCATGAACCCTCTACCTTCATTTCTTCCAGACTCCAATTCTCTCTTTATCTGACAAGAATGATTTCATCTTGGTATCATCAGCTTTCATAACATGAAAAAGGTTATTTCCGTTTATGTGGGTTTCCTTTATATCTTGAACAACCTTTTGTCAGATTTATTCCTAAGTATTTCACATTTAATTCTAAGATAATGATTTTTGTTGCTGATATATAAAAATGCAGTTGACTTTTGTATATTGATTGTGCATTTTACAAGTTTGCTGTACTCACTTACTTTGTTATCTTTAATATATCCTTTCAGATTTTCCCAATAATCATGTCATCTCCAAGTAAAGACAGTCTTACATTTTTCATATTGATCTGGATGCCTTTTTTCCTTTTTCTTGTCTTGCTGCACAAAAGAACAAGTCCAGTACAATATTGAGTAAAAGTGGTTACCATGGTGGACATCTTTCTTTGTTCATAGCTTTAGGGGGAAAGCTGGCTTCTATCAGTTGGTGAAATAGTAATTGTAGAATTTTCAGAGATATTTTCTAAGTTTGAGGATGCTCTCTTCTTTTTCTGGTTTCCTGAGAATCTTACCAGAAACAATTGTAGCTTTTTTTTTTTGGTACCAGGAATGGAATTCAGAACCTTGTGCTTACCAGGCAGGCACTTGTAGGATTTTGTTGTACTTTTACTTTGGGCTTTTTTTTTTTTTTTTCTTTGTCTTTTTAATCTTTTAGTTTGATAGACAATGATGATGGTTTGTTTTTTTTTTTTTTCTTCATAAAAATTTTTCAGTCTTTTATTCTTGGGATAAACTCTACTTGGTTATAATGTATTATCCTTTTTATGCATTAGCTAATTTGATAATATTTTGTTTGGAATTTTTTCATTTGTGCTCGTGAGTAATGTTAGTCTGTTCTTTCTCTGAAATGTGTTTTGTTTTGATATTGTGTGATCCTCATAAAGAGCACCAAACCCCCGTATAAAAAGGATACAAATCCTCACAGCAAGTTGAGGTTTTCCTATTTTTTTAATGTTTGGTCTAATTGACCAACAAAACTATCTGGGTGTCTAGTTTCTTGGTGGAAATGTCAACTAAAAATTGAATTTCTTTCATAGATATAGAACCATTTTGTTAGCTATTTTTTGTGAATTTTGTATTTTGAGGAATTTATCGAGTTTATTGTAAAAGTCATTCATATTTTTGAGTATCTGTTTAATATTTGTAAAGTCTGTAGTCATTTAACCTTTCTCATTCCCAGTATTGATAGTTTGTGTCTTACATCTTTATTGATCAGTCCCACTAGAGGTATATTTACTTTATGGATCTCAGTGAACTGGGTTTCATGGATGTTCTCTAGGTTTTCTGTTTTAGGAATTTCTTTCTTCTGTGTATATTGTTCTGTCCTCCCTACCTCCCTCACTTGCCTTTAATCCCCTCCCCCCAGTTTCTTAAGGTGGAGGGAGACCTCATTGATTTCATTCTTTGCTTGTTATAGCTATTAAGTGATATAAATGTGTTGCTATGTAGTGTTTTAGTGGCATCTCCAGTCATGTTGCTGTTTCATTTTCATTCTCTGTAAGGTACTTTATAATTTGTTTTAATTTCGTGTCCAAGCCATTGGTCCATTTTTCTTTTAGTTTCCTGTGTGGGAGAGATTTTCCCAGAATCTTTCTATATGACTTAAACCCCTCTAGATGTAGTAGGATTTGTTTTATGGCTGAGAATATGATTGTTCTTGCTATATGTTCTGTGTACATTTGGAAAGAATCTAGCTTTTGATAGGTGAAGGCCTCTGTCAGTTCTAGATGGTTGATGTTATTTTTCTTTGTCCTTGTGATTTCTTGTGTACTAATTCTCTCCAATTCTAAGAGTGGAATAGCAAAAACCTAAGGTTGTTAATTGTGGATTTGTGGTTCCTTATTCAGTTCTGCGAGTTCCCTCCTTTATGGTGGAGTTCTGGTATCTGGTAGATAAACATCTGGGATTGCTGTGTTTTGGTGAGCTTATCATTATGAATACTCTTTGTAACTGGTAATTTCCTATGCTCTAAAGGCTGATTCTTCCTCTTGAGCTGTCTTTTGGTTAGTGTTTTCCTAT